CAGGGCAGTTGTGGATCTGCCCCAAGACGGTCTAGCACCTATTTGTAAAGATTTCACCTTTTCCCTGGGTTTTAATGGTTTCTGTTTATCTTCTGCCCTGCTAGGAAGTTCAGGCTTTTATCTTTCAGCAGAAAAGCAATCTGTCTGGTTGCACTGAGTGATAGTGGGGGACCCTCAACACCCTCACAATGGCTCCGAATCCCACCTTCAAAGGTTACCTAGGCAGTCACCTTGGGCAACTAAACCAACCTCAAATCTCTGAATCTTTCTGTAAAGCTCCAATGTCACATTGTCTTTACTTAGGACCCTGGTTTTAACCCATTCAAAACCAACTCCTCACCACTCAGCCCCAGCACAGTTCAGTAACCCTCTGAGCACAGGCGCCCTGGGACAGTGAGTGAAGGAGAGGCCACGCTTTGGACAGAAGCAGACCTGAGTTCACACATAGCTTCTGTCCCTTCATAACCTTGGGAAAGTGCCTCAGGTCATCTGAACTTCAGTTTTCTCATCTGAAAACTGGGAAGTAATAATGGCATTGGTGAGGTACCTTGGCACTTGCCTGTCATCCCAGCACTCTGGGAGTCTGAGGCAGGAGAATTGCAAGTTTGAGCCCAGCCTGGGCCACTTAGAGAGATCTTGTCTCAAAGTACAACATAAAATAAAGGCCTGGGGTTGTAGCTCAGTGAGAGAACTGGGTTCAACCCCAAGTACCACAAAAAATACTAATAGGCTTCATTAGATCGTGATGCATGTTTGTTTGTTTTTTAAGAACAGAATATATTTATTGGAGGAAAGAAAGCTTCTATCAAAGAGAGGGACAGAAGGGAACCCTAACGGGTTGCCCCAGTATTGTGATGTTTTGAGATAAACTATATGGGCCCTGACTCAGACACAGTTGATCGTAGCTGTCATCAGTTTACAGGGCTCTGATAAAGGCCCTGTCCCAGGAGATGACCTGACGCATGACCGTGGCTCACACTCCTTTGGCCTCACCTCCAGTGCTATACAGAACAGACCTCCAGGCCTCAGGCCTGCCCCAAGCCTGGAGACCCTGGCGCTGCTCTTGCCGCCCGTTTGCTCCTTTTGCCAGAACCCCGGTTCTGCCAGTGCGGCATCACCACAGCATCCCCACTGAGTGGTTCAGGGCATTCTCTGTGAACCCTGGGCAGCTGGGCTGGCACCAGAGGGGCTGGGCCACTCTCCAGTCACACGGTCCCAGGAAGCTGAGGAACTTCTCGGGACCCATTTCCCCTGAGTGAAGAGGTGGTTAAGTGAGAAGATGAATTTGGAGCACTAGCCTCGGTGCTCAGAACAAAGCCCACTCTGTAAATGTAGCGGCCTTGTGGGCTGCCTCATGGGCACCGGGACAGGTATGGTGACTCGAGTTAGGCTTCTGGGGCTCGTGCCTGGCTCTCCATGTCCCTCTGGGCTGTCTGGGCACGCATGACGCTATTATGCCTCAATATCCCTGTCTACAAGACAGAGAAGTTGGTGGCTGAGACTTCTTAGAGCTCCTATGCGGGTTAAATGGGATCACACCTGGCACTTGCAGGGTGCGTGGGTCACAGCAGGATCGCGGTGCTGGTGGGGTATTATCATTCCATCCTGTGGCGCTTGACCTGTTTGTGCTTTTATATTGCAGGTCCCTTGTCTGTCACTATGTAATACTTACTTGGACTTTTTAAAAATTTAGTCCTTTAAAATTTTTCCATATACTTTTATATAAATATTTCATGAAAACTTGTGTAAAAATGAAATGTTATGTGCTTCAAGGTATAATACCTGCATGATAAATTTATTAAGTTCAAGTCTATGATTGAGTGTGCTTTGTGAGATACATGTGGTCCTACAGTCATTGCTATAATCAAGCTCGGGAACAGTTCTGTCACCTCAGAAAGTCCTCAGGCCCCTTCTGCCTCTGGGGCCTCAACGCTGCTGATTTGCTTTCTATAGTACTCGCCTTTCCTAGAGCTAAACCACTGAAAGATGGTCTTGGCCTCTTGTGGGCAGACGTAGTCCTGGTCTCTTCAGTGGGATTGCCGATGTAGTTGGGTAGAAGTCTAACAGCTTACCTATTTTTTCTATCTGCCTCACCTGTTCTTTTTCTAGCTTTTCTTGCTTCCTTTTTGATTAATCAAGTAGTTTTGCCACTTCCGGTTGGCTCTACTAGCTGTTTTTTTTTTTTTTTTGTTTGTTTGTTTTGTTTTTTGTGGAACCGGGAATTGAACTCAGGCCCTTGCATTTGCCAGAAAGCGCTTATTCCACTGAGCCATCTCCCTGGCCCCTCTACTAGCTTTTGGTTATACAGTCTCACTCTTCTTTCCATGACCATCAGATCAGCGGTTCTTCAAGTATGGCGGTTTCTAGGTGGGAGGCATCAGCATCACTCGGGACGTTGTTAGAAACGCAAATTCAGCCTCGAGGGGTGGCACACGCCGGTGATTCCAGCACCCAGGAGACTGACGCAGGAGGATTGCTAAGTTTGAGGGCCATCTGAGCTACACAGTTGAATTCAAGGCTAACCTGGAATATACCCATGATTCTGGTTTTTGTTTGTTTGTTGTTTTGTTTTGTTTTAAAGCAAATTCTCAGACCCTATCCTAAAATCATAAATGATGTGGGATCCAGCAATCCACGTGTAACAACTCCTTCAGGAGGTGTTGATACTCACTAAAATTTGAGAGCCCAAACTGCTCTTGCCCTCAGGCAGGGGTGGCTGATTCCAGGCTGGCCTCTGTCCCCCTGAAGCTGCTTTGTTTCTGGTTTGCTCCTATTTCTAGAGTGTAGCCCTAGAGAGGTCCCAAATGAAAAACCAGGGTGTTTATTGGGCCCTCCCCCTTATCAGACCCAAAACCTTAATTTTTCTCCACAGCCTGATTCTGTTGCAGAGCAGGGTATTGAACCCCAGCCCCTGTGCTTGCCTAAGGAGGCACTTAAGCCACTGAGCTACCTTACTGGCCCTTTCCTTGGTGATTCTTGCTTACTTTCATATTTTCCCCAGTTACTGGCAGTAGCTTGGAATGATGCGAGTTAGTCTGCCGCAGCTGGAAGAGGAAGCCCTGTCCTATTGTTCTGTTCCCACTAGAATTATGGAGTTAAATGAGCATTTGGAACAGTTCAGTCTCTGGCATGTGCAAAAGCTCAGTAAGCGTAAGTTATTGTTCCTTGGCTCCCAGTGGAATCCTGGGGACTGTCGCGCCACACTGTGAACAATCAACTGTCCCACACGTTTTCTAGATAAGGAAGCTCGTATTCCACTGTTTAGATGGAGGCTAGCAAAATCCCACCCAGCAGGATACTCTACCTGGACTGCAGGGATCCCAGGACAGCTCCTGCCTGTCAGGGAATGGAGACCCTTCAACCTTAGGGGCCTTGCTGAGCTCTCACCTCGGAAGGCAGTGAGCCAGGGGCTGCGGCTTTACAGAGCTCCTCTCCCTCTCCTCCTCGGGGCTGAGCGCAGCCTCAACTGCATAATGTGGTCTTCTTAGCTTCAGAGTTCTAGACCTTCTCGTGTCTTTCCTCTAGAGCACGGCAAATCCTCTAGGCGCACACATAGCCACACACACGTGCACGTGCTTGTGCAGGCACACTTCCCACAGGCCCACCGGCAACGCCCGAGTGGCAGGCGCACTCCGGCCACACGAAACAAGGCAGCCGAGCTGGCAGTGAGAATCACTCTTCTTTCAGTGCTGGTCCCCTCTCCAGGGGACAGAGAAATGCAGGCCCAGCAACAGGCTGAAAGGCCTGACAAGGGCAGGGCAAAGAAGGCTGGTCCTAGAGACCTACTGCTCCTCCTCTGGCCAGGACCAGAAATCCCGGTGTCTGAAATCGGGCCATGAACTCTGGGATGGTCCCATTGAGGGGTGCAGGTTGGTTGTGGGAACACACATAATCTCTCTAGAGACCTGCGGGTTGTGGCTCGGCTGGAAAGGGTGCTGCAGCCGCTTACTTGAGGTACTTGGTGAAAGTGAAAATGTGTGTGTGTGTGTGTGTGTGTGTGTGTGTGTGTGTGTTTTGTCTTGTTTAAAAGTAGTACATGCTCGGGCTGGGGAGATGGCTCAGTAGAATAAGCGCTTGCCTGGCAAGTGCAAGGGTCTGAGTTCAATCCTTGGCTCCGCCTAAAAAAAAAAAAGCCCAGCATTTCAAATGCCCTCCAAGGGCAAGGCCCCCAGTGACCAAATGGTCTGAACACCTCAGTTGACTCTACCCCTCAGGGGTTCCCATGTCTCCAAAGGTCAAGCCTTAACACACGGGCTTCGGGGAACATGCTAGACCCAAGCTGCAGCACAATCCCTTTTGCCTTGTTAAACTGTGCTCCTCCGTATGTCCCAGCTCTACGGGCTTTCCTGAATTTGGGCTCGATTCTGTCCACTGTGTGCTCATGCATACATCTGCTGTTCTTCTTCACCAGAGTTGTAGTTTTATAGTTATCTTCTGTACCCACCCTTGAGCTCCAACAAGACAAGAGAGCACCTCCTCCTCTCTGCTGCTTGTCGTTGCCCTCACTGCTACTGTCCAAGAATTAGGGCAACACAGAGGTGTTGAGTGGGTAAGTGAGTGAGCGAACGACTCTCAGAGGTGAGGAGCTCCACTACTCCCACCCCAGCTACAAAGACCCCAAGTTCGGAGCAGCAGCCAGCTCAAGGGCCCAAGACTGGCAAAGGCAAAGCAGAGTTTGGGCCATGTCAGACAGCACAGCGCGCATTCCTAGCCCCTTCTTCTTTTCTTTCAATTGTGTGTTAGTTTCCAAAGCAGGATCTCATTGTGCAGTGCAGGCTGACCTTGATCTCACTATGCGGCCCAGGCCGGCCTCCAACTCGTGGTACTCCTCAGCCTCCCCAGTGCTGGCATTCTAGGTGTGCATCACCACACCCGGCTCGGAGCCCCTTCTCCTTCCGACCCGGTGTCCCAGTCTTGTTCTGTCACGCTGCTCTCTGACAGGTGCTGTGAGACCGGTCCAGCAGGCCCAGGCTCCTCTCCCCCGCTGCTGCCCCAGAGCCATGGAGAGCCTGAGTGAGCTCCAGAACCCACTGCTGCCCGGGAGCCCCGGCCCCATCCACGGGCCCTGTTCCTACCCCAGGGCCCCACCCAGTTGGTCCTGCCAGGAGAAGCTCTACTCCTACCTCCTGGGCAGTGCTGACCCAGCTCACGCCCACCAGCTCCTGGACCCAGGGTCCTTGCAGCTGGCTGTGGAGGCCTGGTACCGACCCAGCTGCCTGTTGGGGAGAGACAAGGTCAAGGACCCCTGGGCGGGAAGCTGCGAGACCAGCTTCACAGAGGCCAGTGAGCCCCTGGCAGGACCCACAGGGCCGTGCACAGAAGCTAGCCAAGCCGAGGAGGATGTCGCCATCCAGACTGTGTCCTGTGGCGTTCAGGAGGAGCTGCAGGGCCAGGAGGACGAGGAGGAGGAGGAGGTGAGCCCATTTGCTGAAAATGCCAGTTTCCGGGATGCTCCTTAGATACTGAGACTTAACAGGCCAGGTTGAGGCCCAGGAATCCACTGGCCAGCAAAGTAAAGGCCACCCTGGCCACAGCGCAGTCCACACTGAGAATCACAGCTCGGGCCGACTTTTGGTCCAGCTGAAGGATAGCGCTGACTTTCAGTGGGTGATCATCTGAGTCTTTTTATTAACCTCTTTGGTTCCCTCTTTTTCAAAAAGACCTTCCTGGAGCCAGGGAGATGGCTCAGTGGAATAAACGCTTCCCTGGCAAGTGCAAGGGCCTGAATTCAATCCCTGGTTCCGCAAAAAAAAAAAAAAAAAAAAAAAAAGGTCTTGCTGGACACAGTTTTATAATCTCATATTTTAGTATTGCTCCATGAAATTTCATATTTTCTACCAGGTAATTTTTAATATTGCATGGTCTTCCAATCTGGGCTTTCCCATCATGCGCTGACTCCATCTCCCAGCCACTAGGCCTTGAGGGTGCCTCTCACCTTTCCCAACTGCTGTCCTGTGGTGGGCTTCCCTGGACACAGCACCCTTCCCTGGTCCTGAAAGCAGAATCATCCAGTCACGATAAAGGCTTTTGGTAGAAAGGGCTAAGGGAGCTGGGGAGATGGCTCAGTGGAATAAGTGCTTAGTCCACAAAAAAAAAAGGGGGGTGAGATCAAGCCACACTGCAACCAACAGCACAGGACACTACCTCACACCCCACATCAGTGCCCCAGAGTATGAGTTTTACCTTTTTTAAAAAAATGGATTTGGGGGGCTGGGGAGATAGCTCAGTGGTCTAAAGCACCTACTTAGAACAAGCTTAGCAAAGCACAGGGACCGCGGTTCAATCCCCCAGCACCATATGCCAGCCAGGCCCG